CTTAATCCCTATATTCCCCCAGTTTGTATTTCAATTTCCAATTTCTTTTCCATTTGATTCTCCATTATAGGGGGATAATCCCTTAATTTAAGTTCCTTAACAGCAACCCAGATTAAAGGGGTTGGAAGGTACAATGTGGGAAAGGTCCTTGAGGAGCTGTACTGTCAAGCGCAGGAAGTCGTGTTTTGGCATCTCTTCGATCATGCGTCGCTGCTGTTTGTCCTATTCCGGGGAGGTTTTTGTGGTCTAAGGGTCTGGTTGCTTTGCACATTTTGGGGCCCAAACTAAGATTCAAGATCCGTAGGCACCCCGCTAAACCTCAAACCTTCATTATGCAGGGCTTTAGCTGACCTAGCCCTGATCCACTGAGGCCTCTTCCCGGTTTTTGGCCAAACCCTAAAGCACAAATCCCGAAATCCTAAAGCCCAAACCCTGCGTGTTGTCCAGCTTGGTGATATGGCTGTGTCGCCAGTGGCAGAAATCACAGCTGGTACCAGCGTCGCCTCCCCAGGCAGGTTTTCAAAGGTAACAAGCGAAACAAGGTACGAACACAGTAAAGGCCTGAACATGGCCCGACCCTAAATCCCAAACTCCAAGTCCTAAACCCTAAGCCCTAAATCCTAAACCCTAAACCTTAAACCTGTAGTCTCCTTAAACCTATAATAGAAATGTGTTTAATGATTCCTTAAGGTTATCCTATAATATACACTAACAATAATTCCTAAGGAGACTACAGAAACCCTAATCCCTCGTCCCTAACCAGATCCTAGTCACACCATCTTCCGGCAGCAATGTGCACACAGGGTCGCTGGCAGAGCGTCGGGTGGCCCACACTTCCAGCACTGAGCGCGGGGGCACCTCAGTATCCCTGCAAAACCAAATTCTCAAAATTGGAGTCCTCAAGGGGCCAGAGGGATATGGCATGCAAAAAGACAAGCAATTAGCGTCATAGAGGGATCAGGTTTCAAAAAAAAAGTTCAACGAACCTGGTCCCTCGCGAGAAAAGAGATGGGCCCAGGCACCCGGACCTGTGGCCTTTGGCTGCTGTGCTTGTGGCTCCTGCCCTTCGCCTTGATGCTTCCAGGGATGGGGTGTAGGGGTTTAGGGTTTAGGGGTTTAGGGGCTGAGGGTTTCAAGTTCAGGCGTTTAGGGGTTTGGGGATTTAGGGTTCAGGGTATTAGGGTTTGGGTTTAGGCTTATGTATGGGAGCTGAACCACATCTAGCTATATCATGCACACTTTGCCTTTCTGCAACCCATGACCAAGGTGCCCAGCCCTGGTAACGAGCGCACGTAGCGGTGCAACTCTGCATCCTGGGTATCTTGTACATTGTACATGTTGCATCGCGCTATATACCCTACTCCCTGAACTCTGAACCCGAACCTGCAACCCGAACCCAAAATCCAGAAACCTCAACCCTACAATGGGCCATACAACCTGAACCCAATAGTGACATGCAAACCTGAAACCTATACCTAAACTCACAGCCCTAGACCCTGCCTAAAGCAGAGTTGCAAATATTCCTGTTATCCGCGAGTTTAAAAGGGGTCCTTCATAGACTCACCGAAATTCTGCTTCAAACAAGCCGAATGAGGACCCTGCATCATTTCGAATAAGGCCATAATCCTAATTCTTGAACCCTAAGCTTCAATCAATCCTTGGTCACCAAACCCCGGCCCCCAACCCAGTACCTAACACCCTCAGCCCTACACCCTAGGCCCTAACCCCTAAGCCCCGAGCCCTGAGCCCCAACACCTAGGTTTTGAAGGACCTTGGCCTCCTCCGTGCTCCGGCACGGCGCCCGTCCCAGGAGTGGGGGCTCGCTGCGTGCGCGGCCGGCGCGGGTATCCCTGGCACGTTCCTCGTCCTTCAGCGGCTGGGCGGTTTAGGGGTTGCCCAAAATTGTGGGCTTGGTGTCGGGGGCTCTCAATTTCTTAATTCGGGGTCTGGGTCTCTCAATGTCTTAGTTTGAGTCCCGGACCCCGAATCAAGAAATTGAGAGCCCCAGACCCCAAAGTAAGAAATTGAGAACCCCAGACCCCGAATCAAGAAATTGAGAGCCCCAGACCCCAAAGTAAGAAACTGAGAGCCCCAGACCCCAAAGTAAGAAATTCAGAGCCCCAGACCCCGAATTAAGAA